TGTGGGTGTCTATGCCACAGTCCCCCAGTTTCCTAATGAGAACGGGGTGAGAGACAGTGTCGAAAGCCTTCCGGAAGTCCAGGAAGACTATATCCACTGCTACCTCTGCATCCAATGATTTAGTGACCTGATCGTAGAAGGCCACCAGGTTGGTCTGACATGACCTGCCGCTGATGAACCCGTGCTGGTTGCCCCTGAGCATGCATTTCCCTGCTGGCCCCTCCTGGATGTGTGCCAGAATAATTTTCTCGAACAGCTTGCCCAGGATCGAGGTAAGACTGACTGGCCTATAGTTTCCCGGGTCCTCCTTCCTCCCCTTTTTGAAGATGGGAACCACGTTGGCCCTCTTCCAGTCCTCCGGCACCTCTCCAGAGCACCACGAGTGCTCATAAAGCTGCGCCAGGGGACACGCAATGACCCCGGCCAGTTCCTTTAGAACTCTAGGGTGGAGATCATCTGGACCAGCTGACTTAAAAACGTCCAGCCCCTCCAGCAGCTCCCTAACTAGATCCTCACTTACCCTGGGCTCAGGTGTGCCTCCCTCGGGGCCCGATGGGGGCCTAGCAGGGAGGTGGCAGTTCTGGTCCTTACTGAGGAAGACAGAGGCAAAGAAATCATTAAATATGTTGGCTTTGTCATCTGGTGTGACAACCAGATTCCCCGTCTCGTCCTGCAAGGGCCCCACATTACCCGGAGCCTTCTTTTTACTCCCTATGTATTTAAAAAAGGACTTCTTGTTGTCCAGGAAGACTATATCCACTGCATGTTAGTGCTCTCTTGAATACAAAAAACCGAGGAAACCCAATTTTAAGGCTGCTGTTATCCTTAAATGATGCCCCTTATGGTCATATGTTGTAGCTTTCAAATGCAGGAGCACTCACTTTCCCCAAAAACAAATCACCTAGACTCACGGATTTAATCTAAAGGCAGAGGAACCATGCTACCTACAGTTAGGCCATACATGCTTGTTTTCCATGTTTTTAAAGACATAAGCCAGACTGAAGTCAGCCAAGGGAGAAGGCACACAGTAACACAATGATCCAATTGTGGTCACCTCTGCATTGGCTTCAGACCAGTTTCTCTCATAAGCCACCTGGGACTGGATTGAGTAAACAACTTAGTGGTTTTAGACCAGGTGCCCATTTCCAAGAAGCCATCATTACAACAGCTATTTACACAGCTGCCAAGAACTGAAGTAGCATGAAAAACCCTTCCAGGTCAGGGTGGAGTCACATTAGTGAAAAATGTGTGGGCTCAACTGGCACCGCTGATGTTTAAGCCATAATTGTTTTGTAACTAGACAGCAGGCAGCTCGGTGGTCATCAATGCAATGTTTCCAACAGCACCAAGCCCTTTGCCCATAAAGCTAAAATATTAAAAAGGAGGTTACTGACAAAGCATGTTATAGCAGTAAAACCTCCAACACACCTTGGTATCTCGGAACCAAGTGCTGCCCAGTACATATACTGGCTGGATAGCATGACACCCGTCAGACCTCACACCCGCTATCCTCATTTCTTCTGAGGCAGCATGCCAGGCTTTCCCCCAACTGTTTTTACTGCAGATCCCCATGATCCCATCCATCAGTGTTTCTCAAGACATGAGTCTGACTTTCAGAAGCACTAAACACCCACAGACTGTAATTAAAGCTAGATGAGCTTAAAACTCCTAAAAACCATGCCTAGGGACTAGAACAATATGACCACAGCTATCCACTTATTTGGCATCAGTGGCACTGGATGTTACGTACAGAAGAAGTATGCTAGAAATTAAGGGCTACCCAAAACTGTAAGAAAGCACTTTCAGCAGAATGAGTAATGGCCCATCATAAGTGACTAGAGGCACTTTAACAGAAAAAAATTAGTTATGTAAACAAAACTGCAACAATTTACTCAAATAGAGCCCTGAGGATATGACCACAAAATAAAGGAGAATCTAATTACTCCATATTTAATCTCATTTGAATGCAGGTTTCTAAGTAACATGGTATTTTATCGCACATCTTTTCCAAAAATAAGGCATGTTGGATAGAGCATCTCAGTACAGATCATATAAAGATTTAGAACCTCAACTAGAATGGGCAGACAGCAATAGGACTAGACCTCCGACACACGGACAGCCCCCCAATACATGTCAAACAGAGTCATGTTCCCTTGCAATTAAAAATGGAGGATTCTTTACTAGTCTCAAATGCACGGCAGAAATCTAAGACACATCAAAAAGATGTTTACACACAGATCACGAATAAAACAGGGTTGTTTTTGCTCCTAACATTTTGTTCGTAATTTGGTATCTCCACAGGCCACACTTGGCAAGCAGACGTGAGCTATTCCATTGAGAAGCCTACGGTATCTTTGTTGTGTCCACTGAAGATAGTGCAACATTCTGCCACTAACAGTAAGACTAAGGTTGAAGTGTTAGACTAACTTGTTGTTAATAACTACCTTTAGTAACTTTTTTTGTCAAGTTTATTTAAGGAAGGAAACTTTTCCACCTAAAATGAGGAAACAAGAATTTTGAAGTCTATGCATACATTCATTCCTTTTCTGGCCAAAAGAGATGCAGATTTTTAGGACTTCTCCCAAATCCTACATTATTATCCTTTCCACTATATAAGGCTTTCAAAATTCACTTGCCCAAAACAAGATCTTCTCCAAATAAATCCTATTAAGACATAGGAGGAAAGAAAAACATGAAGCATGTTCATTATCAATCTTCCCAGTGGGAACAGAGTATAACCAAGCACTGCTGCCTTCAGCCTGCAGAACAATGGATGGAGGGCCTCCCCTGCGAGGAGAATGAGAACAGAGGAGCGCTGCTGGTTTCCACAGCTGCAGTCCAGCATCCTGTGGGTGGCAGTGAATTAGCAAGAGCTGCATTAGTCAGTGAAGCTTGGGAAAAGCTTGACAGCAAGGGGGCAGGCACAAATGCTCTTAATTGGGAAAGAAAAAAAAACTCATCCCTTTAAAGGCATTAGCTTGAGGGGCTGGGGTGGCTAGGAGGGAAAACACACCTCTCCTCCTACTCCAGATGATGCTCCTCTCAAGTGTACCTGAGCCTCCAGGTGGTAATTAGTGAGACGTCAGGCAGAAGACAAGATAGAGATGTACCTAGAGACTAGCTCACCAAGTGTCTAGAAACATTTCGAAACTCCACGTGCAACTTGAGGCAAGGGATGATGGAAAACCTGATGGGACATGTAGTTAACGCATGGAATTCATTGCCACAGCAGGTGGTAGAAGCAGACAACATAGCCAGGTTCAAAAAAGGGACTAGGCAAACTCTTGGAAGACAGATCTATTAATAGTTGCTGA